AGGTCCATGATAGACGGAGTAGGCCATAGATGTCCTCCACCACGGAGAGTGGCAATACACAGCGGCGCCCCTCTCCCAGACTCAGCGGTTGCAGAGGGTGCCTCGGATGTCCCCAAGTAATCATCAGCGGGTACAGGTGCGAGGCGCCGAGCCCCGGCTTATGCAGCCGCACCAGGCCACGGATGTCCGCCGCTATGGAGGGTGGAAATGTCATCTGGAGCCCCTCTCTCAGGTGCAAGAGATGCCACCAGGGTCCTCCGCTGCCCTGTTGTGATCCGCTGCTGCACGGATGGCAGCGGATTCTGTAGTTCGGCGCCGGAGCTCCGGATTATGCGACCGCGCCGGTCGCCATCTTGGACACGCCCCCATCCCAGATCATTTTAAGGCCACTGTCTGGGTAGTTTATATTAATTGTCCTGATTTGCCTAGCATATTCAGCTGACTCGTTTCCAAGCCATTTGATCAGGAAGGCTATCTCTTCACTACATGACAGGCCTCTGATAGTGTTTTGGAAAGATTGTCAGGTCATTAAACATTTCCTTGTGTGACTAACTTGTGTCATGCAAAGAACTTGGCAAAGTCTTTTGAGGTCTAATTAGCTGGTTGTGTATTGGTATGTGAAAAGGTGAGGTGTAATGATACCTTTTAAGAGTCTCTGGTTTAACCCAGTCCCTTTTGTACTGTTCTGATGTGAAGGCAGGATCTGGAGGATAATTTGTAGATTTTGGTGCCTTGCATGTTAAATGTCTGTCATACTGTAAGAGGTTTCACTTTACTTAGAATAATCTTGTTTGAAGTTTGTTGCTAACTTGTGGTGGTGCTATGTAGCATCATTGGTTTGTCTCAACATTGTTTTTGTTGCTGCTTGGCCTAGAGTGTTGATAGACATAATCTGAAATGCGTTATAGAGGATCTTGAGGTTCAGCTTCTGGAAGGAGCACACTGTTGCGCCTACTGCATTCCCTATCAGGGTATACAGCTAATTCTAAGGCCTCTACTTCAGCTATCGATTGCAGTTTTTTTTCTCTACAGTAAGCTGCTCTAGGTTTGCTTCTAGTAGGGCTTTCTGCATTTCCAAGGATGTTTCGTATTGTGCAATCTCAGCCTATAAGCATGCCTTTATGTTGTGCCTTCTCAACCTGTAATTGTGCTTCGTTGCACTTTCTCAGTCTGTAAGCATGCCTCTTGTTGCACCTTCTGTCTGTAAGCATGCTCCCTTTTTTATCTACATTTCTTGCCCAACACAGGCTGCTCTGGCTTTTGCACGAGCGATAGCAAGTGCATTACTTGCGTAGGAGGTACTAGAGGAACCAGAGACTTGGGACCTTGTTTTAAGTGAAGATGCCTGACTCTGCGACATGTTGCTTGTGGAGGCGCTTGACTGTGTAGACTGCTGTGTTGCCGTATGCATATGGCTGCGCTGAAAGTGTAGCAGGCATCTGTGTAGTCACTATGTATCCTGCTTGCTCGGTAGCTGCCGTTTCACTGTTCTATCCTTGTTACATGTTTCCCTGTGTGTACTTCAACATGCAGCTAAACCCTCCCATTCTGCAATAAGTCAGAATGAATGTAATCTTGAAGCTTTATCAACAAAACTGGGTGGGATGAAACCCTTAGGAAAACAGATATGGAGTATATATAATCAATATATGATATATAAAACAAACACAATGAAATGATTAGGCTATAGATGGCAATAAGTACATGCTCACCAGCGATGTACCTGTAAGGGATGCAAATTCAGTCCATGACTTGTGGTGCAGAGAATTATTGCTGGTTACTTTTCCTCAGTTCTTAAGATGGAGTTTGAGTTCCCAAGATGCTCCTGCCTCCCCTTTCCAGAATGAAGGATGATGGAAGCTTTCATTAACCACATAAACACTGGTTTCTGTAAAACATTTTATTCTGGGATCCATCTAGTGACCAAATTTAATATTGCAGACTGAATTTCCCTGCTGGAGGTAGAACAAATTCAGTCCTGTTTTGATTGATCAGGTTATGAGGTTGCATTGTGGAAACAGAGATATTATACAGGATTTATATAGTGCCAACAGTTTTCTCAGCGCTTTACAATATATGGGGAGACAATACAGCAACAATACAGTTCAATACAAGAGGGTTAGGAGGGCCCTGCTCCTTGGAGCTTACAATCTAAGAGTATGATTGATAACTTATGATTATATCTTCAGCTATCATCAGAATTCCACTTCTCCATGTGTGGCATGCTGATTGATTAAGTACAGAAAAGGAAGCAGACACACATTGAAATGATCACTTTTATCATTTGTTAGTATAAAAAATCCTCAGGCATGACTTTGACAGTACCTGCCTCAGGAGGACTTAGAGACATAGTGGTGGGGAGTATAATTTTTGTTTTCAAGCATCCATATTGATTGAATATTATCCACTATAGATAATTTTTTTCCAATTGGGGGCAATTGTTCTCAAAAAAAAAGGAAGACCATTTATTGAAGTGTGTATGATCGCCACTTGACAAAGAACTCCTTATGTACATGTGCGTTTGTAGCAGAGTATGATTTCCTTCAGGAGACTCCGTGGGGTTTCATAAGAACAGTTATGGTCGGGAAGAAGTCTCATACAAAGCAATGAAATACTGACAGCACCCATGGCCATTTGCATGTATATGGACAAGCCCCAAGTACCTATGGATGCTAAATTTTTGATGCAAACTGTTTGCATCCTGAGCCAATCATTTACAGGTAACCAGAGGCGTCCCTAGGGTTGGTGTCACCCAGTGAGGTAACACTTGGTGACAGCCCCATCAACGATCCCCGCAGAATGTATCGGATCTGCGTATTGAGCATAATGGATGGGTCTCCGATCCATTATGCTCAATCCGCAGATCCGACCCATCCTGCGGGGATCATCGGCTTTCTTTACAACTTACCTTTTCTTGGAGGGGGTCCGGTGTCACCCCGTATAGGTTGCATGTCGACGATCCCCACATGATCGTGGGCATGCAACCTATACGGGGTGACACCGGACCCGGTCCAAGAAAAGGTAAGTTTTAAAGAAAGCCGACGATCCCCGCAGTATAGATCGGATCCATCATGCGGGGATCGTTGGCTTGCTTTACACCTTACCTTTTTGTGGAGCGGGTCCGGTGTCACCACCTCGTGCGGTTGGTGTCACCCAGTGCAGACCGCACCTGCCTCGGGATGCCACTGCAGGTAACCACTGCTTGTTTAATTACATGTTCTGCAGGTTCTCAGCTTAAATTGCTGTTCACAGGAAATTGTAGTCGGCCCTATATGTGAATGAGGCCATAATAGGACCTCTAACAACAACCTGCTGACCACCCACAGTAAATATACTGTGAGCAGGCAGCAGGTACAGGCACGAAGGTGTAAATGTATGTGATTGGCCTTCTTCTGGGTTTGGGGCCAACCCATGCTGTGGTTGGATACAGCTCGAGTTTGGCAGCTGATTTCAGCCAATGAGTGTCCAAAAACAGAACTCTGTGTACTGTGAACAGCGATCAAGCGATTTCTTCTCCCTGCAAAGCACATATTACACATTGTTATGCACACAGTTAACCCCTTGATTGCCCTAGATGTTAACCCCTTCCCATCCAGTGTCATTAGTACAGTGACAGAGTACTGTATTAGCACTGATAACTCTACTAAGCCGGCCATACATGGGTCGAATTTCAAAAGCATTTTCTTTAGAAAATCTTTTCTAAGAATTTTATTTTGAATTTCCCACCATTAGTGGGTCACAGAAACGGTCGATTTTCATGTGATCATCGAATTTGAGTGATCTGCCATGTTGGATATTTTTTGAAAAACAAACAAATTTCGAATCAATGATGGGAGAATCACGTGACAAATATAAACGAAAAACAAATGAGCATGAGCTGTGACCTGCAAAGAAAAGAAAATTCTTGGCCACGAAAATTATTTTCTGTAGCAACATGAGGTGAAATTGAACGCTTGGTTGGTTGAATTTCAAAATCAATGGTGGCACCATCGGATTACAAAACGCACAAAATTTCCGATTTTCTAAAAATTTGTTCGGGATTCGACCCATGTATGGCCTGCATTACATAGGGGCAACAGTTTGCTCAGCGCTTTACAAAATAAAGGGAGACAATACAGCAACAATACAGTTCAATACAAAAGGGTTAGGTGGGCTCTGCTCCTAGGAGCTTACAATCTAATAGGGAGAGGCTGGTGGATCAAAGGTAATAACCGTGGGGAATGAACTGATGGGAAGAAATAGACGATTCTGTTATTCGCTGACACCGCCATTGCCAGTATAGCGTCATAGCTGCGTAAATTCCAGTACATATATCGTTTGTAGATGGTATAACTTTTGCACAAACTAATTCATGAACACTTGTTGGGTTTTTTTTTTTTTACCAAAGACATTTAGCAGAATAGCAGCAAATAACACATTCACAATGCAGAATACATATAGCCTAAATTTATGAAGAAATTTTTTATTTTATTGGATATTTTATACCAGAAAATATTTGTTTCCAAACTTTTTGGTTATTTTTCATTTATGTAATAAATAAGCCAATGTGGAGCAAACACCACCAAAGGAAAGCTCTATTTGTATGAAAAATGTATTATGAATTTCATTTGGGTACAGCATTGCATGACCGTGCAATTACCAGTTACAGTAGTGCAGAATAGCAAAAAATACCCTAGTCATGAAGGGGCAATACTGACCTAGTCTAATAATAATGTACACCTTCTGAACATGGCTGTGAGGAGAAGCAATTGCTTCCTGGCTCCAGATAACTAATCAGTATAACGCTGCATTCCATGCTTTATGCCTCTCTATTACTACAAGCCGTGAGGTGACTCCAGGCCGCTGTAGTATACAAGGGACACCTGCGGGAAGGTCACCACACAGGCCTAGCTCCCTCTCCCCGCCATTTTGGTCACTGGGCCCTGTGTGGACTATACTTCCCGTCACCACCCGGGAAATGCGCAGAACACAGGGAGGCGGGGGTGAGCCGAGTCTCCAAGATGGCCACTTGGGGAAGGAGGCGCGCTGGTGTGGGGAGAAGAGATAGGTGAGCCGGGGGACGATGTGTGATGTGCGGTGTCCTGTGTCATGTCCGCCCCCTGTGCAGGGTGGAGGAGGTGATCGGGGCGCCCTGTACGTGTAGATGCGGGACGGTGTCATGGCTGTCATGTGCAGGCCCGAGGTCAGCTGTGTGGGGCCCGGACATGTCACACGTGTTTGTATAAAGCTGGGAGGGGCGGCCGGCCGGCCATCGTCACCTTTTTCTTGACCATTAGACCGGCACGTAGGATCTGAGCCCTGGACTATCCCACAGGGAATTACAGTACACTTTGACTGCCTTCCCCCTCTTCCTGGGTTCAGCATGGTGACAATTGTGTCTTGAAGAAATCGGACCAATCCGAAGTTCTTCCCTTGGCTGAGTGTAAAGATTTGTTTCGGGGGGGGGGGGGGGGAGGGGAATGGAGACTAATGTCATGAAGATCACAGGTCACCTCTTACAGTGGGTGAGGGGCAGCTATTGACAGCCGGGACTGATCTGTCCCTGGGGACTGTAGGGAGATCTACAGCAACATGGACCTGGCACACGACTGAATGAGGGAATGCACTAAGATTGGGGCATGAAGAGAATGGCACAAAGTTCTACCTCTGACCTAAATTCCCATTTAATAAAAATGGTGCCTAATACTTCATTACATGTTGTATGAAATAGAAACCCCATGCTGTGGTGGAACGCCCTCCACTTCACCCTCCAGTCACGCTCCTACGTTACACCCTCCGGCCATGCTCCCACGTTACTCCCTCCGCTTCACCCTCCGGCCATGCTCCCACGTTACTCCCTCCGCTTCACCTCCTCCGGCCATGCTCCCACGTTACTCCCTCCGCTTCACCCTCCGGCCATGCTCCCACGTTACTCCCTCCGCTTCACCCTCCGGCCATGCTCCCACGTTACTCCCTCCGCTTCACCCTCCGGCCATGCTCCCACGTTACTCCCTCCGCTTCACCCTCCGGCCATGCTCCCACGTTACTCCCTCCGCTTCACCCTCCGGCCATGCTCCCACGTTACTCCCTCCGCTTCACCCTCCGGCCATGCTCCCACGTTACTCCCTCCGCTTCACCCCGGCCATGCTCCCACGTTACCCTCCGCTTCACCCTCCGGCCATGCTCCCACGTTACTCCCTCCGCTTCACCCTCCGGCCATGCTCCCACGTTACTCCCTCCGCTTCACCCTCCGGCCATGCTCCTACGTTGGTCCCTCCACCTCCTCCTCCAGCCATGCTACTATGTTGGTCCCTCCACCTTCTCCTCCTCCAGCCATGCTACTATGTTGGTCCCTCCACCTTCTCCTCCTCCAGCCATGCTACTATGTTGGTCCCTCCCACCTCCTCCTCCTCCAGCCATGCTACTATGTTGGTCCCTCCACCTCTTCCTCCTCCTCCAGCCATGCTACTATGTTGGTCCCTCCACCTCCTTCTCCTCCAGCCATGCTACTATGTTGGTCCCTCCACCTCCTCCTCCTCCTCCTCCTCCTCCAGTGATGCTACTATGTTGGTCCCTCCACCTCCTCCTCCAGTGATGCTACTATGTTGGTCCCTCCACCTCCTCCTCCAGTGATGCTACTATGTTGGTCCCTCCACCTCCTCCTCCAGTGATGCTACTATGTTGGTCCCTCCACCTCCTCCTCCAGTGATGCTACTATGTTGGTCCCTCCACCTCCTCCTCCAGTGATGCTACTATGTTGGTCCCTCCACCTCCTCCTCCAGTGATGCTACTATGTTATTCCCTCTACCTTCTGCTCCAGTGATGCCCCTATGTTAATACCTACGCTTTGTCCTGCAGTCATGCCTCTATGTTAGTAACTATGATCCCTCCTCCTGTGATGTCCCTATGTTAGTCCCTCCACCTCCTCCTCCAGTGATGCTCCTGTGTCAGTTCCTATGCTTTCTCCTCCAGTCTGTTATTCGCTCCCTGGTCACATCTGTCCACTTTTAGACTGTGTCTGTGTATCATTCCAAGCTTATGTTCGTCCAGTTTCACATAAAACCAAAGCATAATGAGTATGTAGCCAAAATGTTTTGTTTCAGTTTTAGATACAGTAGGGAAGTGTTAAATCAGGATATTTTTTTGCTGTCCTTGCTGTCCTGCTTGCCTTCTTGCCTTGGAGACACAACAGGAAGTGAGATAAAATCTACTTTAATTTAATGCAAGTGTTTACATCTTACTAATAATGCATTCATTATATTTTTCAATGGAGGCATTTGTTTCATGGTCCACTGTCCAATAGAGGGTTTTCCTCAGTTTGAAGAGATCCCATCTCGCCTTCCTGTTGTGTCTTGAAACAGGCAGTGAAAAAAAAAATCTCCCCAGTGGGAAATGGCAAACAAAATGCCCAGCAGAGCTTTTTAATGACTTCCTATTTAAAAAAAATGGTTTAAGGTAAATTTTAAAGTGGTATTAAAGTCATTTATAAAAAAATTTCTGACAGGCAGGGTTTTTATGACATAAGAGATCCTATTGGTCTCTTCTTTCATAAATATGTCATCCTGCCTGTCAGCCACTATGTACGCTGAGACGCGCATGTGCAGTTCAGCATACAGTTACGGCACCTGATCTGTACAGTGATGATGTGACTCCTGTGTGCATGTGATGTCTTCCCAGCCCAGCCATTCAAGCAGCCAAACAGACGTAACTGGGAAGTTAGAGCAGTTGAAGATGGAAGTGCCCGAGACCCGCAGGATTAGTGATGACTGGAGAGCACTCTGTCAGAATATGTTGATATTCATTGAATACTAGCACATTATGGCATAAACTACCTGGGGGCACATGTAAAAAAAAAAATAAAAATTCTGTCCCAAATGTTTAAGAGGCAGAGAGGAGAAGGGGAAAGGAAAAAAGAGCTATGCATGTGAAAGTTTGCTTTTAAAGGATAAGTTCACCTTTGGAACATGTTACATGTTCCACCCGTTTTTAGGGTGGAACATGTAACGTTGCTGTAGCCAAACCTACCGCCCCTCCCTCTGACATATAGTACAGGGAAAATCTCCCCATACTATCTGTCAGCTTTGAAAACAGCGCGGGCCGTATGGGGTTCCGACAACACGGCCGTGTCACTCATTCGCAGAGTTCTGTGAATGAGTGCCTACAAGTCCCAGCAGCCTTAGCGGCTGACGGCTTGTAGCGTTTAATGAACTACCACAGTGCTTTGGAGCACCCTTGTAGTTCATTGAAGCTTCTGTCAGTATATCTGCTTGGCTGTACATCCCGTATAGCAAGCAGATATTCTGACAGGTGTGCAGGAGACCTGCATGGCATCAGGGATCTACTGATCGCTGGTGCAGTGCCTTCTAGGATCCTTTAGACACAAAAATAATAAATGCACATTTTATAACTGCAAAAAAAGTACATTTATTATTTTTGTCCAAAAGGTGAACTTATCTTTTAAAGCAGTGTTAATTTTTTCTTTTTCCTTTAATCGTAAATTCTGTATCGTTTCACTTGCTGAATCCTTGCTTGGGTGAGAATGATTAGGTTTAATGTTCATTGCAAAATCTTGCACATGCGAAGACCAACCACAGCTCTGTAGTAGTGGGCAGAGACCCATGGCATGTCTACGCATTCATGATTTTCTCTGTGCATGTCCAGAATCTCGCAGATCTCAGCCAGGTCCGTAGACCTGTAGTATTCTGTCCATGCATGAGGGATTTTGTGCATGCGCAGACATTGCGGGTTACTGCCAGTTCCCACACCTGCATCATGGAGGTGTGTATTCAGGATCCTGTTTCAAGATGGCAGAGTTGCGAGGGAGACTTTTTCCTGCCAGGAAATTACCATGTGTTTTTTTTTATTTACTTTAATTTTCACACAAGGACATTTATAAGGACATAAACATTTATTTGAAGTGAATGAAAGTAGTGTTCTTCTTTAACAGCCCTATCACACTATTTGCATTGGGCTGCACTTGGGCAGCCTTCCTCAGCACTGTTCAGTGCAAAGTCAAGGTTGTTAATTATGGTGTCCATCCTACTGCTTTGTGATGGCGTGCATGCAGTACTTCTTAGCGCAGCAACACAAGCCACCTTCACGGGTGCAATGCTTTACAGGCTCCTTGGGGAATAAATACAAAACGCACATTTTGTTTTCTGCAAGAATATGTGCATTTATTATTTTTTCCAGAAAGGTGAACATTTAACTCTTTGGGTTTAATTATACTATGACTTCTATTCACCCTTGATATCTGTTGACAGTTGATGGCTGTCAGTGACTGTGATAATGTCTGAGATGGTGTCCTTGAGGCTTGCTCTCAGATATAGACACAGCTGCCTTAGTAGTATGTATAACAGGACAGGGCTAAATGTCACTTGTGGGGCTATGAACTGAACAGAAAAAAAAGGAGGACTTGAGATTGGACACATCTTGTGCTCAGTTTGAATTATACATGGTTGTGGTCCCATGCCCTAGTGTTCTCTCTTCTGTTTACATTTGATGGGGTCAGTCTATCTTTGGGTGTCCACATCATAGTCTGCATGCCATCAACAGTTCCTATTGGCTGTCCAGCAGTGGAGTGCTCTCAGGATCCAGACGAGGAGTGGTCTTTGTACCCAGAAATGGTGCTGTTGAAGGGCCTGGACAGCAGGCGTAGGTGAGTATAACTTGCTTCACAATGAAAGAAAAAACACATGTAACATGAGTTAGAGGATGGTGGGAGGGAGTTCATGTTTTAACCAGAGTTTGGCTTCAAAGGCATAAATACTATCAGATGTTTTTGTTGTTTTAACTAGGTATTAGTGTAGTTTTTTTTTTTTTTCCTGTGTCATTTGTTTGCCCTACCTTGTAATCATGGACTCACATGTTGTGGCTGCAGTTTTGTAGTGTCAGCTGATAGATTCCCTAAGTCTATAAATTCATTCACCTAGCTGGTGATTTCTCTGCTATTTGCTCTGTATGCTTGTGTCCGTTTCAGATCTAATCAACTAGCTGACACCTGTAAAGCACTAGACTTAGAGACCCAGGGATTGTGGCATATGTAGTTTCTTCACAGGAAGTGTCAGTTCTTAGACTATAGTCAGAGGTCATGCATTAACCAATGCAATGCCATGCCGAATGCCTCATGTTCAAACAGAAACGGCTGACAGAGGAACGTGAAGTGACACCATAAAACTACATGGTCAATGCACATCCTATGCAGGTGAAACTCACAAGGTGCTGGTTTGAAGGTTCATAATGCCTTCAAATACTTATTGCACACACAGGTTTGCTTTAAGGCTCCATGCACACTAGCGTTTTGTAAAGTGGAGTTCCACTCAAAAGTGGAAGCTTTGCTTATTAATCTCCCCCCTCCACTGCCATATTTGGCACCTTTTGGGGGGGGGGGAGAGGAGAGCGGATACCTGTTTTTGACAGGTACCCACATACGGCTAAATTCGCCGCGGCGAAGTGAGCCGGAAGTTCGGCCCCTCCTCCCTCTTGCAGTTTCCTGGGAACATTCACAGGTCACAGAAGACTGCCGGACCAATTAGGAGGCACAGCGCGATTTGCACATGCACGGCGGGCACCAGGAAGCCGCAAGCTGTCACAGCCTGTTGCCGACAGTTGAGATCCGGCGCCGTGAAGGAGAGAAGGGACGGCGCGGTTAAGAACATCGCTGGACTCCGGGACAGGTAAGTGTGTATTTCTTAAAAGTCAGCAGCTACAGTTTTTGTAGCTGCTGACTTTTAATAAACACAAAAATGACTAGAATTCCGCTTTAAGCTCCTAGAAGCTGTTATGAGCATTTTCTTTCTGCTCCTAGAAGCTAAATCATGTTATCCTATGTGTCCATGTACAGTCATGGCCGAAATTGTTGGCACCCTTGATATTTCTCCAGGAAATCATGTATTTCTCACGAAACGTATTGCATTAACACATGTTTTGCTATACACATGTTTATTCCCTTTGTGTGTATTGGGACAAAACAAAAAAAGGGAGGAAAGAAAGCAAATTCGACATAATGTCACACAAACCTCCAAAAATGGGCTGGACAAAAGTATTGGCACCCTTTCACAACTGCGGATAAATAAGAATGTTACAAGCATGTGATGCTCCTGTAAACTCACCTGGGGCAAGTAACAGGTGTGGGCAATATAGAAATCACACCTGAAAGCAGATAAAAAGGAGAGACGTTCACTTAACCTTTGCATTGTGTGTCTGTCTGTGCCACACTAAAGCATGGACAACAGAAAGAGGAGACGAGAACTGTCTGAGGACCTGAGAACCAAAATTGTGGCAAAATATCAACAATCTCAAGGTTACAAGTCCATCTCCAGAGAACTAGATTTGCCTTTGTCCACAGTGCGCAACATTATCAAGAAGTTTGCAACCCATGGCACTGTAGCTAATCTCCCTGGTCGTGGACGGATGAGGAAAATTGATGAAAGATTGCAACGCAGAATAGTCCGGATGGTGGATAAGCAGCCCCAAACATGTTCCAAAGACATTCAAGCTGTCCTGCAGGCTCAGGGAGCATCAGTGTCAGCGCGAACTATCCGTCGACATTTAAATGAAATGAAACGCTATGGCAGGAGACCCAGGAGGACCCCACTGCTGACACAGAGACATAAAAAAGCAAGACTACAGTTTGCCAAAATGTACTTTGAGTAAGCCAAAAGCCTTCTGGGAAAACGTCTTGTGGACAGATGAGACCAAGATAGAGCTTTTCGGTAAAGCACATCATTCTACTGTTTACCGAAAACGGAATGAGGCCTACAAAGAACAAAACACAGTACCTACGGTAAAATATGGTGGAGGTTCAATGATGTTTTGGGGTTGTTTTGCTGCCTCTGGCACTGGGTGCCTTGACTGTGTGCAAGGCATCATGAAATCTGAGGATTACCAAAGGATTTTGGGTCGCACTGTAGGGCCCAGTGTCAGAAAGCTGGGTTTGCGTCCAAGATCCTGGGTCTTCCAGCAGGACAATGACCCCAAACATACGTCAAAAAGCACTCAGAAATGGATGGCAAAGAAGCGCTGGAGAGTCCTGAAGTGGCCAGCAATGAGCCCAGATCTAAATCCCATTGAACACCTGTGGAGAGATCTTAAAATTGCTGTTGGGAAAAGGGTGTCCTTCCAATAAGAGAGACCTGGAGCTGTTTGCAAAGGAAGAGTGGTCCAAAATTCCGGGTGAGAGGTGTCAGAAGCTTATTGATGGTTATAGGAAGCGACTGATTTCAGTTATGTTTTCCAAAGGGTGTGCAACCAAATATTAAGTTAAGGGTGCCAATACTTTTGTCCAGCCCATTTTTGGGGTTTTGTGTGACATTATGTCATATTTGCTTTTCTGCCTCTGTTTTATATTTGTTCCAATACATACAAAGGGAATAAACATGTGTATAGCAAAACATGTGTTAATGCAATACCTTTTTTGTGTGAAATACTTGATTTTCAGGAAAAATATCAAGGGTGCCAACAATTTCGGCCATGACTGTATATTCCTTTAGGCTATTAGCATTTTTTGAGCTTCAGCGTCTAGGAGCAGAAAAAAAATAGTTTGTAGAGTTTTTTGGAGTGTTTTCCAGCAGAAAAAAAACACTAAATGCTCCTAAACGCTACTAAAACACTCTAAACAGCTTTTTTCTAGCTTTTAATGTTTATTGCATGCTTCTAAAAAACGCAATTAGTGTTTTTTATCCAGTGTTTTTTCCAGCATTTTCTAATCTTCAAAAAGCCAGTGTGCATGGAGTCTTAAAGGCACCGCTATATTAACAGACAGGAGTTTAATTTGCAGCAGTCCACTGCTGCTGATACTGTGAGATATCTGTATGTACTGTAATTTAGAGATTGCACATTATGGTGAACTGAATGGACAACTGTGTTTGAATTCATCAATGATTGATTTTACTTGATATCTGAAATTATAACAAAACCAAAAAAAACATGGCCGGTTAATGAAAAAAGTCTTCTCTTTGACAGGGTGCCCTTTTCCACGTGCGAGTGGTACATCGTGCATGAGATCTACAATGGTGAAAATGCCCAAGACCAGTTTGAGTACGAACTGGAGCAAGCACTCGAAGCTCAATACAAATATATAGTGATCGAACCAACTCGCATTGGAGATGAAACTGCACGCTGGATTACTGTGGGGAACTGCCTGCACAAGACAGCAGTACTTTCTGGTACAGTGTGCCTTCTCACTCCACTAATTTTGCCTTCTGAGTATTCACCCATATATGTCTCTGCCAGCTGGTATTCTCAGCTTGGCCTGCTCTACTCTTTATGGAATCTCCTGGCAGTTTGATCCTTGCTGCAAATATCAGGTGGAGTATGATGCCTATAAACTATCAAGACTTCCACTACACACTCTTACCTCCTCTACACCGGTCGTGCTTGTAAGAAAGGATGACGTCCATAGAAAAAGACTACACAACACAATAGCACTTGCTGCATTGGCATACTGTGTAAAGAAGCTGTACGAACTTTATCTTGTATGATTTCCATGGATGCTGAGCATGCAACAATATAAACCTTTTTTGTGAAATTTGATTGAGATTGAAGAATTTCTCCAGAAAACAATTTGGTGCTACTGCACTGATTATTTTCAGCGCTTTATGGTAGAAGGGTGAGGACCTGCTTTGAAGTCAGTATACCCTAGCTGCAAGTCATACACATAACAGGGAATACATGAATTTTAAAAGTTGGTTTATGAGGGAGGTCTTTTTATGTTGAACATAGAATTATGTATTTGTTGTACTACACTTAACCAGCCAGAAGCCCATGTGACCATTAAAATTGAAATTAAATAAATGGCTACTTGCTTTCATGTTGTAAACTGAGAAAGTTTAAGTTAAAAAAGTCTTGTCACTCTTAAGTGTAAAGTACTTTTCTGTATTCTGAAACCGGTTTGTACATGGGTACATTTTATCTGATCACATCTGGTTTTTGTGACGCACTAAGGGTATCGGTTCACTTTTTGAAATTCCTTTCTCATTGTTTTGTTTTTTTCCTCAATGTTTTACTGGACACACATGCAACAGTATGATTGTTCTATATAATTAGCATTTAGATAAAGAATTGGCCCTGCTAAAAATGCTTAAAAGTTTAACAAAACTAATCTTTTCCTCTGTCTCCGATGATTGTTTCTTTTAGAAGGAAAGGATTTGACCTATTATCTATCAATAGTTTATCAGTATGTATGACCAGCATTAATGTTTAAAGCTAAACTCTCAAGTATATATAGAAAAATACAAAGTTGTGCAGTTTTTTTTTTATTCATTTAGACACATTAAAAGTATTTTAAAATGCAACTAGTGCAAGTACTTTTGTCATAAAATCAGTCTCTTGTTACCCCCCCCCCTCCCTGTACATTAGCACTAAAACTGTAAAAAGGAGGTCAGACAATAAGAGCCAAGCTCTGCTGCTTGTACATATGTTTAGAAAGAGGGAGCAGAGGGATGACCTTACCAGCATGCTGCTGCTTCTTCATTGTCCAATAAGAATGGAGGTGTGTTTTGACTAGTGTTTTGTGACCATGCTGTGCTGTTGCAGTGGTAGTAAAGATATGGATAAGCTGCCTGACATCTTTACCAACCATTTGACAAGTGAAACTGTTTATACTTTATAACAAGTGGGTCTAAAAATGCAATCTGTAAATATTTTTGTGGGTTAAATAAGGATTGTTAATGATTTTTTAATATTTACATTTCCAGTCAGCAGGTGGCAGTCTAGACTCCGTTTCTCATGTTGACCATAATAACCTTAGCTACTTTGATTGAAAAAGCCAGTTGGTTACAGAGCTTCAAGATCCTAGCACAAATATACACACATAAGTAAATGAATCAGAGAAGTGGCTCATCCTCCCTGTCTCTCCCCAATATGGCTTTTATACATACATTCAACTAGAGAGTGACAGTCTGAATGCAAGCAGCAGCTGCTGTTCTGTAGATTCAGAAAAGCCATAGTGTTAGTTTGTCACATGTCTAGCAAAGGGAATTTGAGGTTGACCAAATCTACAAGTGATTTACTCTGCACTTTCAGATAACACTCTAGAAGGGCTTCTGTCTCTGCTAGAAGCCAGCCATATGTGGATCGAAATTCTGCCAGTTCAGCACCAGCCAAAGTTTGATTCATGTATGGCCAGGCTGGTTGTACAGATTTACTACTGATGAACTTCTGTACAACCAGCCTGTTGGAAAATTTCTGCACGATCAGTGCTGCAGACTATAGCCAGCAGTGCTGATAAGTGTATTCTGACAGCGGGGAACTCGCCCCGCTTTCAGAATACAGTACCTTACTGGGAGTGATTCCCTCATCCACATTGAGTGTGTGTATAAGGGAATAGTTTTTTTTTTTTTTTTATTTTTGTTTAACCCGCTGGTCAAAAAATTGACTTATATTTGTGCTGCTTAAGTGGCATATCATTCTGAAGCTTACAACAAAAGATGCAGAAAGAACCCATAGGAGATTTCTTTCTTGCTGTTCATCTACTTGTTTAATTTGGAAAGCTGCCGTGCAAAACAAGTAGATTTTTCTTTGCTCATTCTTGCTGCTTTCTTAAAGCGGTAGTAAATGTAAAAAAAAAAAAAAGCAAAACTTTTGTTTACAAGGCAATGCCATAATGTGCTAGTATGCACTGCATACTAGGACATTATGAAATACTTGCCCTAAAGTGTTACTAAACCTAGAACCCTGCATTCATTATTTCCAGTAAAATTCATGTGAATTCAATTATTTTAGTAAATATAATCTGATAAATACCTTTTCTCATCAACAGTATATAACAGTCTTGTGACTTCTATCAGTGTCCAGTAGAGCACTGGTTAATCTTGTAGAAAGAGTTTTCATTCTCCTCTCACTGTCCTATGAGACTGCATGACCCCTGACCCTCTGTCTGGACAGTGCTGATTGGCCCTGTGCGGATTACATGCACCCTCCCAAGAGAAAACTCTAGCAATACACAGTAAACTGAGCATGTGCAACTTGCCCCCAAGGCTCTGTTACATCAGGAGATGAAATGGGGACTGTGGAAGAAGGGGAGGATAAGAGAAGACAGGATCCAACAGTTTTTTTTACACAATGCAGAGGATTAAACCCTTAAGTTCCACAGTGAGTATAACAGGCATGCTTTACTGCATATACAGGCTGATTTTACTGTTGTGGGTTTAGTAACACTTGAAAATGAAGCCCTCCACCAGTGTGCCATCACCGCTGACAGGGCTTTCATTTTCACCTGGTCTGCCTTCCAGGTTCGTGGGCTCCAGCCACCTGACTGTCCAAGCCGTGATGACGTCCCTCCCATGCATGCATGCGGGAGCCCCGGCTGCAACACGGATCTCTGAAGGAACGACATGGGTGTTTCGAACGCTCCTTCAGGGTGCATGCGCCGGTGATGCCACCGGCTTCTACAGAAGTAAATGTCTCCTTAACTGTGAGTTTAGGAGTTATTTACAGTACCTACAGGTAAGCTTTATTATAGGCTTACCTTTAGTTAAAAGATAAACAGCAACTTTACTACCACTTTAAGTGCAAATTTATCAACATTGGTGAACTGCTGTACCATTTATTATTGTGCGTTTTTAAGGTAAGTTGTAAGGTGAATTGAAATTGGCTTTGTATAGAGTTCTTCATATCCCCTGCAGAGCAGCACTGAAAGTGAATTGGAGCCAGCAGGGTCAACCAGTTCGGCTCACTTGCATTGCTCAGTGCTATTTTTCTGACACAGGTAACATACTTACAGGAGGGGAGAGCACATAATTAACCTTTATTTCCCAATCAGCAGGAAAAGCAGTTCATGAACTTGTATTAGCTTCAAGGCTGTAATTCAGTTTTCAAATCTGTTGTACATCAAAATAAACATTGGAAGAAAAGTAAGATTTACCCCTGTATTTTTTAATCGATAAAGAGACTAGGGTAAACTACAAAGTCTTTGTCAGCAGAATGCAACATTACTAGAACACAAGCAGAAAAAGTGAAGTGCCATCTAAGTGCAGCAAACCAATAATTTTTACTAAGCTCATAAATTGGCAATTCGCATGTTAAAAACTGCAACTTGCTTATCAAAAGGGTAAAGACCGCTGTCTCCTTGGTCCCAGGATCCCACTGTGCACATGGCAGCCATCACTGTGTCTTTGGATATTGTAGCAGGCAGAGCCGGGCGGTGGAAGGGTACTGCAGTCCAGCTTGGAGCGCACTGCCAGCGCAGGGGTGGGAGTGACGTCAGTCTAGGGACACAGAGCGGTGTGTGAACATGGCTATACTTTACAGTTTATGGGTTGCAGTTTTTAACATGCGAGTTGCCAATTTATAAGCTGAATAAAAATTGTTGTTTTGCTGCACTTAGAGGGGGTTCACTTCTAACTCTAGGATAGCAGCCACAAGTTTGAAGCAGACCATAGGAGTGTTGTCCTTTTGACTCCACATTGGACTTTCAAGCTGTGTTGCACAAAGGCTTAGCTCTATGGTTTTAACCCTTCATGCACCATAAATACCCCTTTACTTGTGCCAACATTACTAGAACCTTTACTCTGCTGGCTTTTGCTGTGCCTAACACAAGACTGAAAGATTTGCGATGGTGACAGCTGCTATGATGGTCTGCTTAATGTGCAGCATTATTATTTTTTCTTTACCGTTTCCATGGAAATGGGTCAGCCATGCAAGATGTCATTGCTGCTACAGTAATATGTACAGTATGATTGTTAGAAACCTGATGATGGGTGCATTCATAACAGAAATATTATACTAGCCCTTTCGTCAGCACAGGTGTACAATTTCAATTTTCCTATCATCTTCCGGGACAGCACATTAGAGAGATTTAAAAAAAAAAAAAAATTTTTCATCTCAAGTCCTAGGTGCTCTTTTGAAGCAGCACTTTGTTAGCAGCCTATTGTTCTAGTACTATTTCAAAACAAAAACGAATGGCTGCCAATGACAGCTGAGGTCTAGCCCATGAGCTTAAAGAGACCTTGGGGCCGACCTATTTGAAGAAAAAGCTTTGAAAACGATTATATGTTGTTGATCTGTAAAAGCCACATTCTTTTAGACATCCAAAAGTTTTCAGACTGCTGCTGGGCACTTGCATTGTCAATGTGATGTTAGCAGCCCCAGCAGACTCAGACCTGTCACTCTCTTGGCACTCAATAGTATTCTCCTTTGGTTCTCTTCTGGCATCTGCATAAAAAGTTATGTAGAGGAGGCCAGAGAAAGTAGACCAGCACAGAGAGTAAATGGACATTCCCAGAAGAGGAGTGGGCTATGACTTGCAAGAAGGGAGGAGCTTTGCTGGGGAATTGGCCCTTGACCCTCTAAAGGTCAAAGGCACATTGCAAATTAATGAAAAAAATATTTATGGAAAGGAAATCCCTAGCAAGCAAGCACTTATAATACTTGACTTTCAAATTTACCTGCAATTTTTAAACCATTCTCTTTACAGAAATTTGCTAGCAAGACAGTGTACTATAATGCTTTGCAGTATGGTTAAAGGAAACGTGCCATGTCA